TCAGAGTGGGTAGGGGATGTGTAGATCAAGTGTTTACATTGAAGCATATATGTGAACAGTATTTAGATAAAGGTAGAGAAGTTTTTATTGCATTTATGGATTTAGAAAAGGCATATGATAGAGTGGATAGAGGAGCAATGTGGCAGATGTTGCAAGTATATGGAATAGGTGGTAAGTTACTAAATGCTGTAAAGAGCTTTTATGAGGATAGTGAGGCTCAGGTTAGGGTGTGTAGAAGAGAGGGAGAATACTTCCCGGTAAAAGTAGGTCTTAGACAGGGATGTGTAATGTCACCATGGTTGTTTAATATATTTATAGATGGGGTTGTAAAAGAAGTAAATGCTAGGGTGTTCGGGAGAGGGGTGGGATTAAATTATGGGGAATCAAATTCAAAATGGGAATTGACACAGTTACTTTTTGCTGATGATACTGTGCTTATGGGAGATTCTAAAGAAAAATGCAAAGGTTAGTAGATGAGTTTGAGAATGTGTGTAAAGGTAGAAAGTTGAAAGTGAACATAGAAAAGAGTAAGGTGATGAGGGTATCAAATGATTTAGATAAAGAAAAATTGGATATCAAATTGGGGAGGAGGAGTATGGAAGAAGTGAATGTTTTCAGATACTTGGGAGTTGACGTGTCGGCGGATGGATTTATGAAGGATGAGGTTAATCATAGAATTGATGAGGGAAAAAAGGCGAGTGGTGCGTTGAGGTATATGTGGAGTCAAAAAACGTTATCTATGGAGGCAAAGAAGGGAATGTATGAAGGTATAGTAGTACCAACACTCTTATATGGATGTGAAGCTTGGGTGGTAAATGCAGCAGCGAGGAGACGGTTGGAGGCAGTGGAGATGTCCTGTCTAAGGGCAATGTGTGGTGTAAATATTATGCAGAAAATTCGGAGTGTGGAAATTAGGAGAAGGTGTGGAGTTAATAAAAGCATTAGTCAGAGGGCAGAAGAGGGGTTGTTGAGGTGGTTTGGTCATTTAGAGAGAATGGATCAAAGTAGAATGACATGGAAAGCATATAAATCTAAAGAGGAAGGAAGGAGGGGTAGGGGTCGTCCTCAAAAGGGTTGGAAAGAGGGGGTAAAGGAGGTTTTGTGGGCGAGGGGCTTGGACTTCCAGCAAGCGTGCATGAGCGTGTTAGATAGGAGTGAATGGAGACGAATGATACTTGGGACCTGACAATCTGTTGGAGTGTGAGCAGGGTAATATTTAGTGAAGGGATTCAGGGAAACCGGTTATTTTCATATAGTCGGACTTGAGTCCTGGAAATGGGAAGTACAATGCCTGCACTTTAAAGGAGGGGTTTGGGATATTGGCAGTTTGGAGGGGTATGTTGTGTATCTTTATACGTATATGCTTCTAAACTGTTGTATTCTGAGCACCTTTGCAAAAGCAGTGATAATGTGTGAGTGTGGTGAAAGTGTTGAATGATGATGAAAGTATTTTCTTTTTGGGATTTTCTTTCTTTTTTGGGTCACCGTGCCTCGGTGGGAGACGGCCGACTTGTTGAAAAAAAAATATATATATATATATATATGTATACATATAGGAGGAGTATGGAAGAAGTGAATGTTTTCAGATACTTGGGAGTTGGCGTGTCAGCGGATGGATTTATGAAGGATGAGGTTAATCATAGAATTGATGAGGGAAAAAATGTGAGTGGTGCATTGAGGTATATGTGGAGTAAGAAACGTTATCTATGGAGCAAGGAAGGGAATGTATGAAAGTATAGTAGTACCAACACTCTTATATGGGTGTGAAGCTTGGGTTGTGAATGCAGCAGCGAGGAGGCGGTTGAAGGCAGTGGAGATGTCTTGTCTAAGGGCAATGTGTGGTGTAAATATTATGCAGAAAATTCGGAGTGTGGAAATTAGGAGAAGGTGTGGAGTTAATAAAAGTATTAGTCAGAGGGCTGAAGAGGGGTTGTTGAGGTGGTCTGGCCATTTAGAGAGAATGGATCAAAGTAGAATGACATGGAGAAGGAAGGCGGGATAGGGGTCGTCCTCGAAAAGGTTGGAAGGAAGGGGTAAGGGAGGTTTTGTGGGCGAGGGGCTTGGACTTCCAGCAGGCGTGCATGAGTGTGTTCGATAGGAGTGAATGGAGACGAATGGTATTTGGGACCTGACGATCTGTTGGAGTGTGAGCAGGGTAATATTTAGTGAAGGGATTCAGGGAAACCGGTTATTTTTATATAGCCGAACTTGAGTCCTGGAAATGGGAAGTACAATGCCTGCACTCTAAAGCAGGGGTTTTGGGATATTAGCAGTTTGCAGGGATATGTTGTGTATCTTTATACATATATGCTTCTAAACTGTTGTGTTCTGAGCACCTCTGCAAAAAACAGTGATTATGTGTGAGTGAGGTGAAAGTGTTGAATGATGATGAAAGTATTTTCTTTTTGGGGATTTTCTTTCTTTTTTGGGTCACCCTGCCTCGGTGGGAGACGGCCGACTTGTTGAAAAAAAAAAAAAAATGTACAATCACTGGACACTTTTCTAGAACTGCTGCAGCTTGTGGTGTTTTACACTCCTCACACATAAAACGAGTGTCTCTGCATTTTTGTGGGCATTTTGTGGTATGTCCACAGACAAAACACCTCTTCTGAGCATTTTTCTTGAGAGCAGTAGCAGGCAGTGGTATGGGGTAGTGATCACCAGGCCTCAGACGAGAGGGCATGTGTTGATAATTTTGTGGGCTCTGGTCTATTGCAAGTGTTGTTCCTTGGTACTTGAATATTATTTGTCTGATGACTGACAAACAAAATTCACCATATTTGGGTTTGTTCTTGGTCTTCAACTTATACATATTATAAGCATTCAGCATGGAAATGTCAAGGAGATGGAAAAAGTTTTAAGTACCACTTATAACTCTTGCAAACACAATCAGCAAACCCAATCTGCATGTCACATTTGCCCACTAACCGCATATTGAGGTTGTAATCCATCACAGCTGTGGGCTTTACAATGGGTTCATTGGTCTCTCTATTCTGCTTGCCACTGTCTACCATTTCATGTCATTGAACTGATGTCAACAGTGTGACATCACATTTGTCATGCCACCGAAATGCAATGACGTCATTGGCATCAAACACCTGAACATTACCTCTACGAGTGCCAGTGTCGAACCTAGGCATATGCTTACGATTTCCACGCACTGTGCCACACACATTTGTCATGTTCACTCACAAGAAATCACAGAGTAAAGGGCTTGTGTACCAGTTGTCAGTATATAAAATATGCCCCTTACCAAGATATGGTCCCATCATTGTTCTAACCACATCACCAGAGACACCCAGTAACTTCCTGGTATCTTGCAATGTTTTACTGCCAGTGTACACAATTATATCCAAAACCAGACCACTTTTGCAATCACACAGTACAAATAACTTTATACCAAAGCATTTCCTCTTGTTTGGTATGTACTGCTTGAATGAGAGTCTTCCTTTGAACAAAATCAAAGACTCATCAATAACAAGCTTTCTGAAGGGATAAAAATACATACAGCACTTTTGTTTCAGGTACATAAACACATTTCTGAGCTTATACGTATAACCTTTCTTTTCTGTCAGGCCTTATGTCTGAAAAGTGTAGCATACGTAACAGTAGCACAAATCTATTCACTGGTATAATGTCACTGAAAGCTGGGGTTGAAATCAGGCAGTCTGTCGACTAATATGTGTTGACACTGTGCTTACACACATGTGACAAAGAACAGATACATCTCTGCCACAGTTGTGTCCTTCCACTGGTGTAGGCGTGACCTTGGTGAAAGAACTGTGTTTGCCATGATGTACTCAAAGTATGTATTGCTTTCCCTGGCAATAATGTCCATCAGGGGTACATCGAAGAATAACTGAAAGCATTCCAGTTCAGTGGCATTGTTCCCAAGTGTATATGATGGCCGTATTCCACTTTGTGTTTCATCAAAGTTTGGGAACAAACTCGTCACTTTGCTGCTAATCCCAGATGTGGTCAGCTGGTGGGTTCTGGATATTGAAACATGGTTGTGGTTGTGCAGGTTGTGGTTGTGGATGTTGTGGGAGTGTGTGGGGTTGCGTGAGGCTGGTTGTGGTTGTACTGAGTCAGCAGCGTCGGTAGTAGCATGGCCTGCTGCTGGTGCCACATGACTCATGCCACCACCACCTGCTGCCTCACTCACATCATTCATACCCATCGTAACAATATCGTCATCTTCACTATCAGTTCATGGTGTAGGGCCATGGGATGAGCTCCAAGATTTACTCCTTCCCCTTGGAACAGTATATGACATACTACCAGACTGCATGCTACGTCGTATATACTCCCGCTTCACTGGGGAATATTCACCCTCACTAGAACTGCTTTCAATAGCTTTGAAATCACTATCACTGTCACTTTCACTGCTCACATCTGAGTCTTGTACATGGACAAATAGTTTCCTCTTTCGTCCTGGTACACGTGAACGTGAATGAGCCGGCCCAGCACCAGAGGTGGAAGGTCGTGGGTCATCTGGGTTTTCATCACTAATTACGTTATCCTGGGCACTGTTTTTGGTCACACCCACTTGAAAACCATGGAATTCACTTTCACTGACACTTCCATCGCTGTTAGAGCTATCACTTGGGAACAAAAGACCTCCAATCCGCTGAGGAGTGAGGTACTTCTTACTGCGAGGCATGGTGAAAATGGACTACCAAGATGGCGTTCCCACAATGCACCACTGAGTCCCAGATTTTTTTCACAGGGTGCACACCCACCACTCAGACCCATTCTCTCTCATGTAGGCCTACCAGCCTTCTCCCGCTTGATTTGAAGCCACTAGAATTTATGCGTATAGATATGTCAAACACAGTGGCTCGTAAGACATATATATATACGACCGAAGCAGTCAAGGGGTTAAGAAAGCTAAATCCTTCTACCAATGGATCAAAGGAAACAATGGATCAACAGTGGAAGGAGCTTTCATCAGTTAAGTGAGCATATTGTACAAGAATACATATAACAATATAACTTACTTTGTAATCATGAGAAGAAATAATATTTGAAGCTTGTGACTGATTATTAGTAGGCCTGGTAGAGGCTGCTGCAGTTACTCTGCTGTGATCCATAGGGCCCTCACTTATATTATCAACACTACCTTTGTTTTTCTGTAACAGATGAACAGCGGTTTCGCTTGCAATTCTATCTTTTTTGTTTGTCACTGGCATCTGCATGGTAACTTTTTGCTGTAGGGAAAAAATAATCACTGAGGAAAATTTCAAACAAGCATATCACAGAGTGGTAGTAAGCAAAATATAGCCCAGTTCAGCACTACAATGAGCCCAGCACCATTATTGTTTCTCATTCTCAGAGCAGACAAACAACAACAAATAACCACTTTTGCAGATATGTACCATAATAATTATGAATATCAATTCAGAAGACAGAGGTGAAGAAAATAACATGTTGGATTATGAGAACTTTCAAAACAAGAAAAGTAACACCAATGATGGTGCAGCACTTTTAAAACATGAAAACAGTAGGCCCATTGGCCCACGCTTGGCACATCCAATTAATACCTATTCATGTATCCTTCCAACTTACATTTAAAGCTACCCACAGTTCTCACTTCGATGATGATACCTGGGAGTTTGTTCCACTCATCTACAACTCTAATGCCAAACCATTACTTCCCTGTATCCTTTCTAAATACAATTTTTTTCAACTTGAATCCAGTGCTGCAAGTCTGTCTTGTAGCATTCCTGTTTTCCATTTGCACACTTGAATCAAATAATCCCTAATTCTATGTCTTTCCAGAAAGTTCAAATTCCGTTACTTCAGGTTATCTTTCTAGGAAAGGTTTCTCTTACATGCTATCAACTGTGTCATCATTCTCTGTACATTATAAAGCATGTTTATGTATGTCCACCCAGAGAGGTACTACCGTCTTACCACGCGAGTATAAAATGGAAACCTGTAATTGATTTACATGATGGTAGGATTGCTGGTGTCTTTTTTTGTCTCATAAACATGCAGGATAATAGGTATATCTTGCTACTTCTACTTACACTTAGGTCACACTACACACATGCATATACACACATATATATAAGGCCCTCGCTTATATTATCAATACTACCTAGGTGGCAAAAGACTGCAAACCTCACTCAAGGAGAAAGATCTTGGGGTAAGTATAACACTGAGCACATCTCTGGAAGCACACATCAACCAGATAACTGCTGCAGCATATGGGTGACTGGCAAACCTGAGAATAGCATTCCAATACCCAAGTAAGGAATCTTTCAAGACACTGTACATCATGTACGTCAGCTTCATACTGGAGTATGCAGCACCAGTTTGGAACCCACACCGGGTCAAGTACGTCAAGAAATTAGAGAAACTGTAAAGGTTTGCGACAAGGTTAGTTCCAGAGCTAAGGGGAATGTCCTACGAAGAAAGGTTAAGGGAAGTTGGCCTGACGACACTGGAGGACAGGAGGGTTAGGGGAGACATGATAACGACATACAAAATACTGCGTGGAATAGACAAGGTGGATAGAGACAGGATGTTCCAGAGAGGAGACACAGAAACCAGGGGTCACACTTGGAAGCTGAAGACTTAGATGAGTCAAAGGGATGTTAGGAAGTATATTTCTTCAGTCACAGAGTAGTCAGGCAGTGGAACAGCCTGGCGAGTGATGTAGTGGAGGAAGAAACCATACATAGCTTTAAGACAAGGTATGATAAAGCTCATGGAGCAGGGTGAGGACCTAATAGCATTTAGTGAAGAGGCAGGGCCAGGAGCTGAGTCTCAACCCCTGCAACCACAATTAGGTGAGTACAAGTAGGTGAGTACACCCATCTGGGTGTTAAGTATAGTGGTACCAACACTCTTATATGGGTGTGAAGCTTGGGTTGTAAATGCTGCAGTGAGGAGGCGGTTGGAGGCAGTGGAGATGTCCTGTCTAAGGGCAATGTGTGGTGTAAATATTATGCAGAGAGTTCGAAGCGTGGAAATTAGGAGAAGGTGTGGAGTTACTAATAGTATTAGTCAGGGCTGAAGAGGGGGTTGTTGAGGTGGTTCGGTCATTTAGAGAGAATGGATCAAAGTAGAATGACATGGAGAGCGTATAAATCTGTAGGGGAAGGAAGGCGGGGTAGGGGTTGTCCTCGAAAAGGTTAAGGGAGGGGGTAAAGGAGGTTTTATGGGCAAGGGGCTTGGACTTCCAGCAAGCATGTTAGATGGGAGTAAATGGAGACGAATGGTTTTTGGGACCTGACGAGCTGTTGGAGTGTGAGCAGGGTAATATTTAGTGAAGGGATTCAGGGAAACCAGTTATTTTTATATAGCCAGACTTGAGTTCTGGAAATGGGAAGTACAATGTCTGCACTTTAAAGGAGGGGTTTGGGATTGGCACTTTGGAGGGATGTGTAAAAAAATGGTATATATATAATTGGGGCCCCTGATATTATATTCTCTATGGAGTTTATTATATTATTTCAGGTCACTATTTATACTGTATCTTTATATATGCTTCTAAACTGTTGTATCTGGGTGCCTTGGCAAAAAACAGTGATTATGTATGAGTGAGGTGAAAGTGTTGAATGATGATGAAAGTATTTTAGTTTTGGGGATTTTCTTTCTGGGTCACCCTGCCTAGGTAGGACACGGCCGACGTGTTGAAAAAAAAAATACATGTATCACTTATTTCCAAACCTCTTTCTACACATAGCTCAATTAAAGGCTCCCCATTTTCATTTACCCCTGGCACCCCAAATTTACCTACTACTCCCTCCACAACATTTTTACCCACTTTAGCATTGAGATCCCCAACCACAAGTACTCTTTCACTTGGTTCAATACTCCCCAAGCACTCACTCAACATTTCCCAAAATCTCTCTCTCTCCTATATACTTCTCTCTTCTGCAGGTGCATAAATGCTTACTGTAATCTACTTTTCACATCCAACCTTTATTTTATTCCACATAATCCTTGAATTTATACATTTATATTCCCTCTTTTCCTGCCATAACTTATCCTTCAACATTATTGCTACTCCTTCTTTAGCTCTAACTCTATTTGAAACCCCTGACCTAATCCCATTTATTTCTCCCCACTGAAACTCTCCCTCCCCCTTCAACTTTGTTTCACTTAAAGTCAGGACATCCAGCTTCTTCACACTCATAACATCCACAATCATCTCTTTCTTATCATTTGCACAACATCCATGCACATTCAAACATCCCACTCTGACAGTTTTTTTTTTTTTAGTGGGCTATATAGAAACGGGGTTACTAGCCCATCATTCCCAGCATTTTAGTTGACTTTTACAACACACAAGGCTTACAGAGAAAAGCAATAAGAACAAAAACTATTAAGATAAAATCAAAGAGAACTCAGGTGGTACAAGAATGGTATACTATACCAACAAGATGAAACTGAGACACATGTGCAACATCTGGGTATCTTTATTGTAGACGTTTCGCCATCCAGTGGCTTTTACAATACAAAATCCAGGACATAACTTGAAGACAGGAGAACTATGTACAGAAGATGAGGTAATCAGTCCCTCAACCTAGCAGTAGGTGTGAAGAGCACCATAGTCGTGGAGATTCTGAAGCAGAAGCAAGGCGCCTGACGCTTATATAGTAACGTCAGGTGGAAATGGGACGGGTAGCAGAAGAGGGCATAGTCACTGGTAGGCGGGATTCCCCAGTGGAAGTAGGTCCTACCCAAAGAGATGGGTTAGTTGTGGTAGTAGTTGTCGTAGTCGTGAAGATTATGTGCACGTCCTCAGAATCAAGATTCCATGATGTTGTATACCATTCTTGTACAACCTGTCAGACACTGCAACATCATGGAATCTTGATTCTGAGGACATGCACATAATCTTCACGACTACGACAACTACTACGACAACTACTACTACAACTAACCCATCTCTTTGGGTAGGACCTACTTCCACTGGGGAATCCCACCTACCAGTGACTATGCCCTCGTCTGCTACCCGTCCCATTTCCACCTGACGTTACTATATAAGCGTCAGGCGCCTTGCTTCTGCTTCAGAATCTCCATGACTATGGTGCTCTTCGCACCTACTGCTAGGTTGAGGGACTGATTACCTCATCTTCTGTACATAGTTCTCCTGTCTTCAAGTTATGTCCTGGATTTTGTATTGTAAAAGCCACTGGATGGCGAAACGTCTACAATAAAGATACCCAGATGTTGCACATGTGTCTCAGTTTAATCAGAACTCAGGTGAGTGTGTATATAAAAACATGTACATGTATGTGTAGTGTGACCTAAGTGTCAGTAGAAGTAGCAAGACATACCTGAAATCTTGCATGTTTATGAGACAGAAAAAAAATCTTAAATACTGTAGCTAAAATATTTATCATAAGCTTTCAGAAAACCTACATGATAGAGACTAAACAAGCTCCAATTCATGATCAGTGTATCAAAGTTAGCTTAAAACAACCAATTTGGTTTCTGAACTGGATAAAGTTAAATTTTGTTGGCTAGTGTTATAGACAATAGAGTTGAAAAGGATGAAATTTTAGGGTACTACATACCTTCATCCTTCGTTTCTTTTTAAGTCTGTGACGTGCCAATGTTGCTATTCTGTGACGAACCAAATGTGGTTGTAAGATGGAGAGAGCATCAGAGTCAATGTCTGAGGATACTACCTCAGTGCTGCTGTCTTCTGATAAATGTTCACCTTTCTGAATGACCTAGAACAATATACTGTTTATGTTCTCTCACATAATACCGAGATTGTGGTCAGGGTATCAACATAATAAATATTACTCGATATACTGTATATACAGCCTCTCCTCACTTAGCGACGTACTTGTTTACCACAACTCAATACAGGCCCTTTGACCAGTATTCATACCTAAAAAATGTATGTTAGAGCTGATTTCCTCTATTCTGTTTATTATTATATACAGTACACTACTGTATAAACATTTAAAAATGTATACCAGAAATGCTATAAATGGTGCAAAGGTGACATTATTTAAAACAATATCAAAGATGGTTGACACAAACTCACTACCATTATACGTAGTATGCTCCTCACTTACTGACGAATTCATTTACAGACGAGGTCTTAGGAAGGGAACTCAGTCGTTAAGTGAGGAGAGGCTGTACTGCCAAATAAATACAAGAGTTTTAATTCCTCACTTCATCCGATACTCAAAAGCAAACAAAGGTTTTTAATTAAGGAACTTTGTAGAGTTCAACCATAAGAATCATATTATTAGTGAACAAAGATTATAGACCATTACTGTAGTGTCGACACTCCTGGTCAGGATCTTGACTTTACAGGATTACCAATTACTTAACTACTTCCTACACTTTAAAATTCATAACATACACAATGATAAAGCAACAGCAGTTTGTTGTTTCTTGACATTCAGTGTCAGCATAACTGTTGTTTCTTGATGTTCGGTGCTAGTATAACTGTCGTTTCTTCATATTCAGTATTAGTATGACTGTTGTTTCTTGATGTTCAGTGTTAGTATAATGTTGTTTCTTGATGTTCAGTGTTAGTGTAACTGCTGTTTCTTGATGTCCAGTGTCAATATAACTGTTAGTTCTTGATGTGCAGCAGTATGTTATTTTTAATGTGATATTCAATGTCAGTACAGTGGACCCCCGGTTAACGATTTTAATCCGTGCAAGAGGGGTAATTGTTATGCGAAATAATCGTTATGTGAATGAATTTTCCCCATAAGAAATAATGGAAATAAAATTAATCCGTGCAAGACACCCAAAAGTATGAAAAAAAAAATTTTACCACATGAAATATACATTTTCCCACACACAAAGAGAAGGATACATGCACAATAGTAGAGTAGTACATGCACAGTATATATTGTGCATGTACTAGTCTAACTAATGAAGAATAAATGACACTTACCTTTATTGAAGATGCAGCAAATGACTGATGAGACACTGTGTCCTGGAGTGCCTTTTCTCCTGATACATGTAGGTCCTGTTTGGCATTTCTTCCAGAACAGGCCTTATCACACTGTGTATGCCACTCACGTTTCTTAAATCTCTCAAACCAACCTTTGCTGGCTTTAAATTCACCAATATGAGCACTAGTTCCAGGCATTTTCCCTGTTCACCTGGTGTTAGTCGACTGTGTGGGTTGCATCCTGGGAGACAAGATAAGGACCCCAATGGAAATAAGTTAGACAGTCTTCGATGACACTGACTTTTTTGGTTATCCTGGGTGGCAAATCCTCTGGGGTTAATTGTTTCTTGGTATTCTCATAAGCCACACCAACAACGGTTTACTACAGCAGCAGCAGCAGCTGACAGTGCAGCAGCAGCAGCAGCTGTACCACCAAATATAGCGATGTTGATTGGGGTTTATTATACAACCTGGCCAGCTCGGAGACATGCACTCCACTTTCATACTTATCAATGATCTTTTTCTTCATCTCTATTGTAATTCTCACCCTTATTGCTGTAGGGTTGGCACTAGAAGCTTTCTTGGGGCCCATGGTCACTTATTTTCCAGAAAAAGCACCGAAAACACTGTAATAATACGAAATATTCCGATTGTATGCTTGGATGTTACCGCGGAGGCTGGCTGGTAAACAATGCCACCGGCGGAACATGTGAGCGTGGCTCAGGCCGCACATTGGACGCGTCTCGGACGAAAATCGGTAAGCGGGTTTTTAAGCGGTATGTGAGGCAAAATTTTTGCAATTAAAGTAAGCGGTATGCGAAATAATCGCTATGTGATGCCATCGTTATGCGGGGGTCCACTGTACAAATAACTGTTGTTTCTAATGTGAAGTTACAAGCACATGCAACACTGGAGCCAAGGCTTCAAGTGCTTCTCCAGTTTCAACATACTTCAAGGCAATTCATAAGTTTCAAGAAGTGATCACACAAGGCCATGAAAGGAAGTTATCAGTAAAGATGAAGAAAATAAACAAAATATATCTTTATTTTCCCAGAGCTGGTGATATCATGATGGCACTGAGAGTTATCATGGTGCTACTGTGATAACTCATGCTAGCTGCTGTTACCATGATGATCAACAGAAGCTGCTCAGTATGTTCAGCTCCTACCACCTCAATTGTCTTTTTACAAACCCTGAGGAAATCAAATAAACAAATACGAGACATTTAAACTGACCTGCGCACTCAGTCTAGGAGCTCTGACTCCGACTGAGGTGACCAGAGAGAAGAGTCGATGGGTCATGGCTGTCAGTTCAACAAACAGCTTCTTTCCAGATGCACACACAAAAACATTTTCTGCATGTGTTTTTAATGCCTGAAGTATAAGAATGAAATTTAACTCTTGTATTAGCTTATTTATTCTTAATCCAACAGGTGCAAAAAAAATAAGATTGTTGAAATTTTCTGAAAGCACAATACTGTACTGTATCATACTCCTTTTACATGAATTAAAAGAATGTGGATTTTTATGAAACAGAATTGTTTAGTGCAAGTGTTACTTATTCTCAAACATTCCTGTATAAAATACACCCAGACAGTGCCAGAGTGCCTTAACCCCAGGGATCAGTCTTGGGGCCCATTGTTGTTTATAATATATATCAATGATCTTGATGAGGGAATTACTAGTGATATGAGCAAATTCGCCGATGACGCAAAGATAGGTAGGATAATTAATTCAAACGTAGATGTTAGGGGACTTCAGGAGGATTTAAATAAACTCTATTCTTGGTCAGAAAAGTGGAAGATGCAGTTCAATGTAGAAAAATGCAAGGTTCTGAAGCTCGGGAGTGTCCATAACCCTAGCACTTATAAGTTAAATGATGTAGAACTTAGCCATACAGATTGCGAAAAGGACTTGGGGGTTATGGTGAGCAGCAACCTTAAACCAAGACAACAATGCCTAAGCGTACGTAATAAGGCAAATAGATTACTGGGATTTATATCAAGAAGTGTAAACAACAAAAGTCCAGAGGACATACTGCAGCTTTATACATCATTAGTAAGGCCTCACCTAGATTATGCAGCTCAATTCTGGTCTCCATATTACAGAATGGACATAAATTCGTTAGAAAACATTCTGCATAGGATGACTAAATTAATACATAGCAGGAAGGGTAAAGAGAAAGGAGGGTCCTTAAATGTATATTACACAAATAGTCGAAGTGCTAGGAATAAGATGGACGAGTTAAGACTAGTTGCTAGTGCAGGTAACATTGATGTATTTGTCTTAACTGAGACGTGATTCAATATGAAAAATCGGGACATGCCTGCGGAATGTCACATTCAGGGTTTTAAATTGTTCCAAGTAGATAGAAGTATCGGGAAGGGGGGTGGGGTGGCATTGTATGTCTGAGATCGCTTGAACTGTTGCATAAAAATGGGTATTAAGTCTGAAGTAACACATACAGAGTCTGTTTGGATAGAATTTTCAGAGGGGCATGAAAAATTAATTTTAGGTGTGATATACCGTCCCCCAAACTTAGATAGGGACCAAGGGAGACTTCTATGGGAGGAAATTGTTAGGAACACAAGACACGATAATGTAGTAATTCTAGGAGACTTTAACTTTAGTCATATTGATTGGAATTTCTTGACTGGGAATTTAGAATCATACAACTTCTTAGAAGTAGTTCAGGATCATTTTTTGAAGCAGTTTGTGACAGAACCTACAAGGGGAAATAACCTGCTTGACTTAGTTCTGGCAAACAATGAATCCCTTGTTAATAATTTAGAAATTTCAGAGGAACTCGGTGCTAGCGACCACAAACCAATTACATTTAGCATTAAATGGAAGTACGATAGTTGGGATAACTCAGTAACAGTCCCAGATTTTTGCTTAGCAGATTACGATGGGCTTAGGGAACACTTATCATCTGTTGACTGGGGTAATGAAGAGAGCTATCAATATGACAGTTTTCTGAACACTATACATGCTGCTCAAAGAACGTTTATCCCGTATAAAGAAATTAGATCAAATAGAAATGACCCAAAATGGATGAATAATAGGCTGAAATATCTACTAGGGCATAACAAGGGAATTTATAGGCGTATCAAAAGAGGTGAGGGTCATCTTATGAATCAGTATATTGACATTAAGAGGGACATTAAAAAGGGGATAAGAAAAGCTAAAAGGGACTATGAAATTAAGGTTGCTAAGGATTCGAAAACTAACCCAAAAAGTTTTTTTCAGGTCTATAGAACAAAAGTTAGAGATAAGATAGGTCCCCTTAAAAGTAACTATGGGCATCTTACTGACAAGGAGAATGAAATGTGCTCGATTTTAAATAATTATTTTCTCTCGGTTTTTACACAGGAAGACACTAACAATATCCCAGTAATTAATTTTTATAGTGGGGCTGAAGAAGATAAATTATGTAACATCACAGTCACTAGTGAAATGGTTATGAAACAAATAGACCGACTGAAGCAAAATAAGTCGCCAGGTCCTGATGAGCTTTTTTCAAGGGTTTTTAAGGAATGCAAAATGGAACTCTGTGAACCATTAACTAATATTTTTAATTTATCTCTTCAAACAGGTGTAGTGTCTGATATGTGGAAGATGGCTAAGGTAATTCCTATTTTTAAAGCAGGGGACAAGTCGTTGCCGTCAAATTACCACCCAATAAGCCTGACCTCAATTGCAGGCAAATTACTAGAGTCAATTATAGCTGAGATTATAAGAAGCCATCTCGATAAGCATAGCTTGATTAATGATACTCAGCATGGATTCACAAGAGGCCGGTCTTGTCTAACTAATTTATTAACTTTCTTCAGTAAAGCTTTTGAGGCTGTTGACCACGATAAAGAATTTGATATTATTTACTTAGATTTTGGTAAGGCTTTTGATAGAGTTCCGCACCATAGACTGTTAAAGAAAGTGGCAGCTCATGGCATTGGGGGAAAAGTGCTCTTGTGGATCGAGTCATGGCTCACAGACAGGAAGCAGAGAGTGTCCATAAATGGGGTTAAATCCGAGTGGGGATCTGTAACAAGTGGCGTTCCACAGGGATCAGTCTTGGGCCCGTTGTTGTTTATAATATATATCAATGATCTTGATGAGGGAATTACTAGTGATATGAGCAAATTCGCCGATGACACAAAGATAGGTAGGATAATTGATTCAAACGTAGATGTTAGGGAACTTCAGGAGGATTTAAATAAACTCTATTCTTGGTCAGAAAAGTGGTAGATGTAGTTCAATGTAGATAAATGCAAGGTTCTGAAGCTCGGGAGTGTCCATAACCCTAGCACTTATAAGTTAAATGATGTAGAACTTAGCCATACAGATTGCGAAAAGGACTTGGGGGTTATGGTGAGCAGCAACCTTAAACCAAGACAGCAATGCCTAAACGTACGTAATAAGACAAATAGATTACTGGGATTTATATCAAGAAGTATAAGCAACAGAAGTCCAGAGGTCGTACTGCAGCTTTATACATCGGAAATATAAACACATATGGAGTATAATGTGATCCTTTATTGACTATGTTTCGCCCACACAGTGGGCTTTTTCAAGTCACAAACAGATCTACCTGGGGTGGAAGGGATGCGAGTATTTATAGTCAGGTTCAGAATGCTGAGGTCAGGTAGAGAATGCTGCATCTGATGATGTACCGAGTGGGGTTATAGAGTCTAAAATCTTGGGTAGCTTGGAAAGGAGATTGGATAAGTTTGTGAGCAGACCTTCTACAGTGTTCTTCCATTCCTGTGTTCTTATGTGGGATAGCAATGAAGAAGTTTCTTGGCAAGTGGTTCAGCTATGTTATAGAAGCCACTATTCTGGCTGAAGTTGTCGGATATAGAAATAAGTGATGATTCCAGGATTCTTCGGTATTGAGTGTTGTCTTCTGTGGGGATAAGTCTTGAGTTTCTGTAGTTTATCAAGTGGTTGTGTGAAATACGGTGTTGTACACAGGCATTCCTTGTGTCGTCAGACCTGGTTGCGTATTGGTGTTCTGAAATACCATTTATTTCCAGCTTTATACATCATTAGTAAGGCCTCACCTAGACTATGCAGCTCAATTCTGGTCTCCATATTACAGAATGGACATAAATTCGTTAGAAAGCATTCAGCGTAGGATGACTAAATTAATACATAGCATTAGAAATCTTCCTTATGAAGAAAGATTGAAGACTCTTAAGTTACATTCACTTGTTAGACGAAGAATGAGGGGAGACCTGATCGAAGTGTATAAGTGGAAGATAGGTATTAATAAAGAGGATATTAATAAGGTCTTGAGGACATCTCTCCAAGAGAGAACCCACAGTAATGGATTTAAATTAGATAAGTTTAGATTTAGAAAGGACATAGGAAAGTATTGGATTGGAAATAGGGTAGTTGATGAGTGGAACAGTCTACCTAGTTGGGTTATTGAGGCTAGGACTTTGGGTAGTTTCAAATTTAGGTTGGATAAGTACATGAGTGGGAGGGGTTGAATTTGAGTGGAACTTGCACATCAGAGCTTATTTCTTGGGTAGCAACATATGGGAATCTATAATCAGGAAACGTTTCGCCACACAGTGGCTTCATCAGTCCAATACAAAGAGAAAGGCATAAGGAGGGGAGGAGTTTGGGGTAACATCCCTCACCTGGAGTAAAATTGTTCAGTCCATAAATCTTTAGAATGTACAGCAAAGGCCGTAGATGGGGCTTATATACTTAGTGAGTTTCCCATATTTTTCATAGTGCCCCAAAATTTTCCAACTTGTGGGTTTTTTCAAACCCTTAAATCACAAACAAATGATGTATAAAGTTTCAAAAAGGACCTCTGGACTTCTTTTCCTTACACTTTTTGATATAAACCCCAGTAATTTTTTCCCTTAAACGTACCCCCTTAGGCTTTGCTGTTTTGGGTTTAAAAGGGGGCGGGCTCGCCTTAACCCCCAAGTCCTTTTCAAAACCCCTTTTAAGGGCTAAGTTCTAAAACATTTAACTTAATTGCTGGGGTTTTATGGACATTTCCGACTTCAGAACCTTGCTTTTAATCTCATTGAACTGCATCGCCACTTTTCTGCCCAAAGAATAGATTTTTTTTAAATCCTCCAAAGTTCCCTAACATCACTTTGAACCCAATTTTATCCTACCTTTTTTTGGCGTCATCAGCGTTTTTTTAATTTGGGCTAAATATAAACAGAAATTCCCCTCATAAAGGGATAAATTGAAATATATTAAAACAAAAAAGGGGGGCCCAAGACTGACCCCTGGGAATGCCACTTGTTTTTAAAATCCCCACTCGGATTTAACCCCATTTATGGACACCCCCCTTTCTTCCTGTCCGCGAGCCATGACTCAATCCATGAGAGCACTTTTTTCCC